TACTGTTAACCCCTGTAACTTAACATTATGTGATACTAGACAGAAATATAACACCAATATCAAGAGTACTGAATAGTAGTGAACAGTATTAACTAGTGCTAAAGTAATATAGATAGGACCAGTAATTCTAAAGTACTTATTATATTAATAGCATTTATACCTTCTGTTAAAAATTAGTAGTCCTAGTAAATTTGTAATTTATAAAAATAGTAATAGAGATTGATAGTTCAAAAAATATAAATAGACTTAGAAATTACTCTTGTAAAGAACAGAACTCAAAGTTCCAACCACTTGATAATAAATAAAGAGTAATTGTGTCTTCATACATGAACAACTCAAATATTTTATTAAATAAATCATACAAATAACCCTTCTTTACAAGTGTGATTGTATCTTCATACACAGATCGCTTGAATAAAACCCTATCTCAGTTATAGTGTCTTCATACACAAATAACCTTGAGTATAAGTCATAAATTTGTTTATATGCCTATTTGTATCTTCATATACAAGTAGTCGTTTGCCTTTTTCGTAAAAGCAAATCACTCAAATCCTCTTAAAAGCGTAACCACCACTAAACTCATCTCTTACTTAGCTTAAATCGGCATTCTTGTTGGAATTACTTAACTTAACCGTCGCTATAGTAAAACGTTATACTGGACTTATAAGAGGTAGTTTCGGGTGTAATATTTGGTGGTGACTGTGAGATACGGCTTCACCATTTAAAAGAAAAATCATAAAATTGCATAAGCTTTAACTTTGAGAAATACTTAGAAAGAATCGATAAACATCAAAGAGCATATTGGGAAGATATAGAAAACAAACTGAGCAACAATTCATGTGAAACTTGTTACTTGATAAGGAATAATTTACCACAATCGTTCAAATACTTCATCACTTGGTATAGACTAACCGTGCCCATATTTTCTTTTTCTAGAAAAACCATAGAGTATCTTAAGGAATTAGAAGAAATTTTAAAACAATTTAATATACTGCAATGTAAAAATATTATCTGCAGATTGATATTTAGTATTAGATATAATAAACCCTCTGGAAATTTAATAGAGTTAGTAAGGCTAATCTTATCGATCGTGATATATACGGACTGCTTTGAGAAGGATCTATTATCCCTAAAATTTAAGAAAGAATTAGAAGAACTTTTATTAGAACAAGCTGGTGAAAATTCCAAATCCCCAACCCTATCAATCGCAAAGGCTCTTAAGAGACCCAACCACACAGCATTTAAATGCCCAACACCCAACTTGCTCCCACCTACCACAAAAATGATCTCAAATGACGATATTCTCAATTTTCTCAAGTCGCACTCAAAGAAAGCATTTTCTTGTGAGTCGAACCCTTTCTGGAGGACGGATCTCAGAACCTATAAGCGTGGATCAAAAGTTTTGAAAAAGCTGCCACCACTAATAACTGGGATGCGAAGAGAAAAAGAGCCATTCTACCCACCTTTTTATGGGACAACACTGATGAATGGCAGCAAACATATTTCTCTGGGACTACTGCCACTACCAACCCTGTTAATGACTGGACTGCCACAATTAAGGCCTTTAAGAAACAGTTCTGCACCCAACGCTAGCAGAACAAATGGCTGCGTGAACTAGATACGTTGAAGCAGCAACCGGGCAAGTCTGTCAACATCTATTATAGCAAGTTCAAATGGTTGGTTAAACAAGTAGAGATCTGTGAAAAAGTTGAAGACGCTCAGCAACTGTACTATTTTAAGAGAGAACTAAGACCTGACATGCTCCTGTTGGTCTTGATGCATAACCCTACCAACTTAAAAGGAGTCCGCAAGTTAGTACTGACCCATGAACAAGGGACAGATTTCGCAACCAACGCCAATCTCGTTCAAGTCATGAAATCCAGGGATCTGGAGAAGGACATTGAGTTCCTAACAAAGCAAATGCAACAGATATTACTTAACTATGCAACTATCGCCTCTGCCTTAATCACGCAAACCACTGCTGGACTATCTAAACCACCTAAACCTACCACCGCCATCAAGACCAGGCCGATTTGTTATAGATGTGGTGAAAAAGGACATTTCGCTCGGAATTGTCTATCGAAAAGAAGACCAACTACTGGGTCACCTCCACCTAGGGATGGCAAATGTTTTAAAACGCGATCTTAAAAATCATGTTTGTTTGATTTAAATCTGTTAAAAAATGTTTTAATACATTATGACGTAATTTGATCTGATTGCGTAATTAGTATTTATGATTACTAACATCAAAAAAATCAAAAATTCTTCAAAGAATATTTCATGTTCATGAAGACATTTTTAAAGAAATCATTTAAATTTTACAAAAGTTACTGAATCTAATAAACATGGTAGAAAAAACATCGCGTCAAAAATGCAATTATTGCGAAGAAGACTATTTATTCAGTTGATCGATTCAAAAACTTCCAAGAAATGAGTTCATTATTCTATTTCAAATGACATATGCGATTGGATTAATATGAGAAAGATAAACTATTTATTCATTGTATTCCTAATCTTCAAATAATTTATTTGCAACAACTTATTTAATGAGATTTATATAGTGGCGATATTACTGTAAACCTAGACTCTCAATACTACTGGAAAATTTATACATTTAAAAACATAATTGATAAAATTAAAGTGATCAAACAATTTTCTATAAATTTATTTTTTATATATATATATAATAAATTCGAAATTTTATAGCATCGCGTTTTTAAAAAAAATTACTTTGCTGACATTTAAAAGTAATTAGAAGCAATATTTTCATTTTCAGCAAAATTTTATCTCAGACTTCGATGTTTTAAAAAAAGTTTTAAAACAATAAAAAATGTTTAAAAAACTGTTTAAAACGTTTTTTTACCATCCCTAATTACAGTATAGATTACAATCACTATTTAGAAAGATCATACTATAACAAGTTACTAATATACATGACACTAACTAATTGATGAAAAACACATTTCTTGAATATGTATTAGAATTGTGCACAAATTTCCTAAACTACAAATCTGATTTCAAGATCAGGTACAATGTACATAACACAAATATCTGTTTTGTCAAGCATCATTTATCTCTTACTCTTTGTGTAC